AAAGTGAATCTGCGGTGACTCCGTAGGCTGTCATCTGAGGATGCGGGATCTGGGCGGTTTATTATAAACCCAATAAAGAGATCTGAGCCCTTCGTTGAAAATCCCATCCCCCAAAATCCCTACCCTTCTCTCTTCTTTCCCGCTCAGATCGCGCCATCACCGACCCCCTCCTCCTCACCACCGCCCGAAAGCGCCGCCGCCCAAGCTCGGCCAATCCCTCGACGTCCCCGTTCAGCGTCGCCGCCGTCCCCTTGCCCTAGCCATCACCTCCCCTCCTCCTCTCCAGCTCCCGAGATCGCCGCCGCTGAGCGTCGCCGCCGGGTCAGCGCCGTCTACTCCTCCTCGCCATCGAACTCACCCCTCGTCATCAGCCACGCCTCCGATGGCATTTGAGCTCAGCCCTCAGGTTCATCGCCGCCTCCGGAGCTCGACCAAGCCCTCGACGTCTGCCCTCATGGCTTCGAACAAATTGAAAGAGTCGACGTCTTCGAATTCTTCAAAATCAAAGCCTACCTCTTCTAAATGCAATAATCCTCCAACTTCGTAAGTAATTTGCCATGATATATTTAATTTTTAACTCTTTCTGAATTATAATTTTTGTTGTAAGCCATGATGTATAATGTTTGTGTTAATAAACTTGTTAATATGCGTCTTAATTTGCCCAAATATATTTAATTTTTAACTCTTTCTGAATTATAATTTTCTTGTAGGGCTAAGATAACACACTTGAGAATTCCGGCCAATTTGTGTTATTTTCGAGATTTAATTGATAAGCGAATAAAATTAGATGAAAGACACCTAAAAGCCCTACAGACGACACCTTTTCACAGCTTTCTCAATATACCCACATCCTTGAGCAATGAGCAAATAGCAATTGATTGCTTGATTCAAAATTTTAATCCTGATAAATGCTCATTCATGATTGGGAATAAAAATTGTGTGTTCGGTATAGATGATATTCACCGAATTACCGGATTGCCAAAGGAGGGAATTCCGATAAAAATGAGTGGGGCAGCGGCTAATACAATCTACACCTATTTTGTAAAGAATTATAAGAAAGCCGATGAGGAAAAGAAGGCGGTGATTTCGGGGAAGCGCGATAGAATGGCCGAGATGATTGTAGATATGATTAATGAAGACCCTATAATATGTGTGAAACTTATTGTGGCTTTCATTATCGGCTTCATATTATGCCCGCGGACATGTAAGACATGTCCCTTGTGGGCGTTTAGATATGCGGAGCAGTTATCAACTTTGCATAAATATAATTGGTGCCATGCGGTGTTCACTCTTCTTTGCAAAGAGATGAGTAAATCAAAGAAGTCTCTTAGTATGCGGGAATTAGGTCAGCGCTCAAATGCCGGGTACATGGGTGGTTTTTCCTCCGTTTTACTGGTGAGTTACATGAACATTATTTTGTATATCTTTTCATTTTGATAATGATTATTGTTTATGCACATGCTAATGTGTAGTTTCTTTTTTGTAGGTTTGGTTTTATGAAAAAGTAGGGGAATTAGAGTACACTTCAGATATTGAAAGGTTACCGCCGCTCTTTTGTGTGAAGAGTACTGGAAAGTGGAGGAGGACTACTATGAACAAATTATATAGAGTCCCGAAGTTGGTTACGGATAATGGCCAAGAGAATACTCCTCTTATTCATACGGCATCGCCAATAGTATTTGTACATATCGTTGCTCTAATAGTTCATTATTTTATGTCCCTTTTGTTAGTATCTATGTTTGCAACTATAGTATACGTACTAATACTAGCTTTTTTTGGTCAAATAGGAATCAAGGAAAGCTGAATTAATTTTCTTAATTGCGGAGAAGACGTACGAGTTGAATGAGCTCACTACAGAATTACGAGAATTAGAAGAGCGTAGTGCTAGATGCCAAAAAAAACCAAGGAGAAAGAGGATGACGGAAATGTAACTGAAGAAAAAAAATCAAAGAGGATATGGAAGCTAAGGAATATGAGAATTTGGAAGGAACTGGGGAAGCCGATTTATGTGATGACTTTGTGATGAGCGCAAGAGACGTGAGAATTTTAGAAGATGCTCGGTGAGTTTAGTTTTTTAAATTTTCTTGCAATTTTAATTTTTATATTTTCCATATAATTCTTGTGTAACTCTTTGTTAATTATATGCCTTCTCGACTCTATAGAGATGTTTCTCAAAAAGATGAAGGTGGTAATGAGAATAACAGAGAAACGCCATCTATCAAACGGGCTGTCGGAAAGAGGGAGAGGAAGGATGGACCCTCTGTTACTTCACCTTATATGCCTCTAGATCAACCAAAGGAAGGCACAAAGAAGAGACGTGTCATCCAGATATTGGATAGTCCTGATGGGAAAAAAAAGTACAAAAATGAAGAAGGCTTCATACCTACATCTAGAGACTATCCAGGTAAGGCACTGGCGTTTGATTATGAGAACAAATTAATTGAAGACTTTCTACAATCGAGAATGAACAGGTAACTGTTACTGACTTATTCTAATAATAATCTTTGAATTTACTTAATTCTAGTAGCAATTTTCTCACAATGTACTTGCATATAGTGATACGTACATTTGGAAGTGTGCCGAAGCAAGCGTATCTCGCTTAGATGCTTATATACTATTAACGGGAGGTGAACTCAGTGACGATGTAGGTTCTAAACAATTGTGTTATTGATTGTTTGATGTTGTATATAAAATAATTTATATTAACTATTTTATTCATTCATGGTAATTTTTGTAGGTGATCGATGCATTTGTTATTCGGCTTTGTAACAAGATTGAAACAACTGATAGTTATGATCGAAAGATACATGTCACAAGACCTTGGCTTGCAGTAAGTATATCCTTGTTTTTTTCACTAATTGGTGGATATTATTATTATGTTATCCCACAATGTTGACATTATTGCATCTTTTAGCAAGCATTTCTAGAAGGAAATCTTGAAATGGTGGCAAAACGAATGAAGGAAAATGTTTCTCAGCAGAAGTTCTTGGAGTGTGAAAGAATTCTGATCCCGATTGTCAGCTCCGGACATTGGCACCTGGTAGAGTTAGTGAGAGAGGAGACAAAATTCTATCACTACTCCTCAATCAACTCCCCCATTTATACCGCCGATGCTGTGAAATTTATAAATAAGTTTATGAGTTTCATTGAGAGTAATTGGGGATTGGGGAAATTGGAGCATCATGGTCTTGTGTCAGTTACCGTGCCACAACAAGGACCGTAAGTGTTTCATGCATTTCTAATTTAATTGTTCATTTTTTTGTTTCATTGTCATTTTCAATATTGTAATATTTTTCCCTTAAATGCAGAACGTTAGATTGCGGGATCTTTATGATTGAATTCATTAACAGCATTGTCGAAAAACGGTCGATAACAATTTCAAAAGGAGATTGTGCAAAATATAGAGCAATGTTTTGTGCTGCTCTTTTGTATGCACGCGATTCACCTTTTTTGTAAATATTATTTTAATTTTCTCCAAGGTTTTTGTTGTGTATTCAATGTTGTAAGTATGTTCATGTTGTTAATATGTTGTTAATTGTTTTGCGTGTACATTTACAGACAACTACGTTGTTGTTGTGTGTTGTAAGTATTTTCATGTTAAATGAGAAGTAAGCTAGGGCTAACATAGCCACCAGAGCAAAAACTTGTGATAGAAATAACGCCAGCCCGCAGTAGAACTAACTCGAGAAGGTATAGAACTAACAGGAGGGCAGCTAGAACTAACAAGTGTGAGGTAGGGCTAACATGGCCACCAAAACAAACACTTGTGCTAGAAATAACGCCAGCCCGCAGTAGAACTAACTCGAGAAGGGATTGAACTAACAGGAGGGCAGCTAGAACTAACAAGCGTGAGGGTAGGGCTAACATGGCCAACAGAACACACGAGAATGGCAAGAACTAACACGGAAACGGCTAGAACGAACATTAACCCAGGTAGAACTAACATATTCAATAGATCCAACACTTAAAATAACATTATTCACTTGCACTTGGCTATGAAGGTTACCGAGATATTATAGGTTTGACTGCATTCGTTGTTTTTGCGTAGTTCCCAAGGTTGAAGAGACAACTCACCTTGCAAAAGTGCAGTCCCAAGGAGGAGAGTTATGATAACCTGGTCCGGAACCTATCCCCACATCCCACGCGGCAACATCACCATCCCCAAAGCCTGTTCAACCCCAGGATAGTATTGATTACCTTTTCGGCGCAATCTTTTTCGGATCTCCCCATCGCCGACTCTCTGTAGACTCTTCCTCATTTATTTATAAACCCCATACTTTTACCCTCTCCCCTACCCCTTCAAGTTCCCCTGTATATATGGCGTTGTAAAATCATGGCTAGTTCCTGTACATCTGATGAAGATCATGGCCTTCCTGGGACGCACGCTGATGTGGATCTTGGATATCCCTCACGCTGATGAAGATGTTATCCCCATTGTCTT